GCCCTTGGCATCGTCGTCGGCAGTCATGCCGTCCAGGTCGAGCGCACTGGCGATACTGGCCACCACGTGGCTCTCCCACTTGCTCAGGTCACTGCTGGTACGCTCCTCCGCCTTGGCCCTCTTCTTCGGAGAGATCACGAGCTCGTCAGCGCTGTTGCTGCTGGCGGAAATCTCATCGAGCGATGTGGGCGTCGCGGCCGAGGCGTCGCTGAACTTGCGCTTGCGCGGCGACATCGTGGGGCGCTGCACCGACAGCGGCGACTTGGTGGGGCTGCCGGCCATCGGCGAGAAGAACGTCTTCGTCGTCGTCGTCGTCGTCGTCGTCGTCGTCGTAGTAGTAGTAGTAGTAGTAGTAGTAGTAGTAGTAGTAGTAGTTGTTGTTGTTGTTGTTGTTGAGGGCATGGCTCTGTCTATGTTTGAATTGCAGTTGCTTTGGCTGTGAAGGTAAAGATGCGAATCGGAATATGAGCCTCGCATGGGCATGGCTGCTGGCCGTTGCAGTTAGGTTGCCCTTTTGTATCGTCATGCTCGAGATGGCTTTTCTGGGTCGCACGCGTCCAGATCCTGCTGCGCTTCTGCTCTCTTCTCTCAGAGCGCGACGTTGGACAAATCGCATCGAAACTCGTTCCAAAGTCGGCAGAGAAGGGCTTGCTTGGTTGGTGGCGGGACGGGCTGGCGGCGGCGGTGATGGCTCCGCGCAAGACTGTCGCTGAAACGGGAGCAGCCCTCAACTCAGATGGGTCTCCTCCCCTCCCCTGGCCCGACCTGGCTGGTGAAACGTGGCGTAGATTGCGCGCGTTTTCGGGTGTTTCTATTGTCGGCGCCCGGGCTCTCGTCCATCGGGTGGCAGAAATCGCGGTGAGTGGATCCATTCCGAATCGAAGGGTAACGCAGACGGGGAAGTCGAGTCGACGCGCGATCCGCCGGGAAGGGGTGTGTGTCATCAAAAATGGAAGGACCGCCCTTATTCCTTTTTGCTTGCTTGCTTGAGCCAAAAAAGCAGATGAGCTGTCGAGCTGGCAACAGGGCTTTGGCGCCCAAGTCTGCGGGTCGGCTCGCAACACTGAGGAGGGGGGGGGGAACAAGTATCAATAGCACATCTGCGAAAAAGGAAGGCACCCCGGCCACGGACCAGAACACACGACGCGAGATCATCCACCGCTGCCGGGCGGCTGTGGGTGCTTTGTACGAGCTTGATATCGCCACGAATAGGGAGCACAGAAGGCGAAAAAAAGTCAGAGGCAGATTGAAGATCGCTCCTGCGATTCAAGCCCGAAAACTCATGCTCGCCGGCTGGCTGGCTGGCTGCCTGCCTGCCGATGAGGCAGCCAACGGCAAGAGCGGTCACCAAAAAATGACGTACAACGCGCAACCAAAGCACAGTACTAGTGGATACTCTGCCGAAGTTTCTCGCCGCTCTACATAGTTCTCATTGAGAATTTTTTATGCCCGCCCAACCCACCCACTCGCGGTTTCGAGTTCACCGCCGGATTGCACGAGTAAAGGACACGCGTAGACACCGAATTGTTCATCGATAGACAAAAAGAGGCGCCACTGGAAGACACACATAAACGTGAGCGGAGCTCACTCTCAATTCAAATCCGACTATATTTTTTTAAAGGAAGGTGATAGGAGCCGGTGGCAGTGCCAGTGGCACTAGTGGGGTTCGACTTGGAGTAACAGGAGATGGGGTGAAGGCCCTATCGATTGCCATCAACAGCATCACCAGGAGAAGGAGGAAGGCGAGAAGAAGCTGATCAAGCATGACCTGCAGGGGAAGGTGATCGCTGGAGACGTAGTGACCGGTAGCAGCAGCAGCAGCAGCAGCAGGAAAAGGAGATGACAATCAAGAGCGAGCACTAATAAAAGGTGATTGAAGGCGTACTGTCGAAGATCATTGTCCTAGTCATAAGCACTTCGACTACTTACTGATGCTGTATTACACCTGAGATCTACACACAGTACAACGTAATTTTATTTATTTTTTAACTGTGACGAATGTGCTCAAACAGGAACGTCTACACGCACATGTTCATGTATCTGTAGCGTAAATACTGAAGTAGACTCTTGCTGCGTACGCCAGGAGAGCTTGCACCACAAAACATCTCAAATGCCACTAAAACAAATAGACCGCAATTGTAGCTATCTGTCTGAGTACCCAGACTGGAAAC